CTTTTACTTTCCTGGCTGTTACAGCATAATATTGTAATCCTGTCACATCTGACCCTCCGGGTTTTTGAAATCTCGACGTTTTGAGACTTCCTGAACCCAAAAAAATGGTCAGAAAACTGATATCCGGGCTGGTGTGTGTGTTTGTGTGTGTGTGTGTATGTGTGTTGACATTTATTTCGTTTAATATCTCAGAATGGTGTAATGATTAAGAAACTAAATCTGGCATGGTAATTTGTATTTAATAAGCATTGACGCTATTAAATTTTGGATGTTAAAGGTCAGGATGGTGGGAAAATAAGATGGATCAATGCCATATCTCGAGTAGGGTCGGACTTAACAAAAATTTTACCCGTTATTGGCATTTATAATTTTTTTAAAAAATCATCTCTTCTCTCAAAATTAAGTTTTTTGCCTTTTTATTATAATTAATAATATAAAAGTTATTTTTTAATGAAATCTTTTAAAAGATGGCGCAACATACAAGTTTAACTTTGTGCTAATGTGTATGAGTGTTTCTTAAACGTAAGTCTTTTTCGCCGGGAAAGTTATGCAACTCAACTCGTTTTTAGATTTTTTTTACTCCCTTTTTTTTACCACTTTTTGAAGCTTATATGTTTTATTGAACTATAAATATGTATTAATTTTATTAAAGTTTTATCTAAATACACTTAAATTGTCCTCTTCAACTTGAATCTTGAGATCAATATTAAGGATAAATAATATTCTGCAAATTGGAGTGAAGTTTTAATGAGAAAAATATTGAATTTTACAAATTTTCACTTGACTTTTTGATTTACGTTTGTATTTAATACAATCGATCCATTCATCTTACATTTTATTCCTCTTTTCCTTACATTTGTTACGTTTTAAGACATATATTTCATAAAAGCACTAAATAAGCATTTACTTTTTAATGAAATCTAACGTAAATATACTTGAATTAATTTTATTGTGAGATCAAAGTAAGTAAAAATAATATAAACAACTTTCTATAAACTGGAGTGGACTTTTAATATGAAAATATTGAATTCTAGCGATTTCGCTTGACTTCTCAGTAAAATTTTATAATTTACACTTTAATATATTTACTCCATTTCATCTTTATTTCGGTGTCTTTTTCTTACATTTATCATCTTTTAAGGATTTTAAACGTTATCAAAACCAGAAGAAAACATTTAATTTAATAAAATTTGGCCCCTAAATATCACCCGTTAATATAAAAATCCAGCAACGAGTTGAGTATCTTTCCCGGAAAAAAGTTCAAATTGTGTGTGGCGCCATCTGTTATTAAGTTTTATTTTCAAACATTTTATATTATTAATTATTATAAAACGGCAAAAAGCTTTATTTTGAGAGTAAAAATGAGTTTTATAAAAAGAATTTTAACTACTAATAACGAGTAAAATCCCCACTAAGTCCGACTCCACTCTAGATATGACACGCGACATATGACCTCCGGTATCTTCCCATCCCGTCGACCTTTAACCACTAAAATTTAGAATCATGAATGCCCGTAATACGTAAACTTCCCCGTAAAATTCCAGGAATTTTTGACAAAAAAAACAGGAGTTATTAATCTTCAACCCGCACTAACATCCATACATACAGAAAAAATTCCCGATAATTTTTATGCATTTTTAGACGTTTCAAAATCTTCTGATTCCAAAAATGTATAAATCTTGGGGGGTCAGTTTTTGATCGATCGTCATACTCTTCCTGTTATATATAAAAGACTAGAAAGTAAAAATACGGTTTAAGAAATACATAAGAACGTCTACACATCTGCTACGATATGAGGCTACATGTATTAAATATACATGTTTAATTATAATATTTTATTCGCCTCGTCGTTTGTTTATTATATGATACACTCTCTATTGTATAAAAAACAATCGACAATACAATAATAAGTTTTAGTTTTCTTTATATATAAGCTATAATGAATGCGAATCTATTAGACTCCTGTTCGTTGTAGACAGAATCATTACAGTAAAGCATCTCTTATTGATTATTTACACTTTATAGAAAGACCAAGTCTAGTTCCTCTAACAAGAAGTCATTCAATCTTTAAAAGAGGAAGAAAAAATAATTCTTGTAGAGGAAATCGTGCTGAATAGAAGGGATATTCATGTAGAGAATCTTTTGTTGCACAAGGCATTCTCCTTGGAATTCTTATATCTACATTTTACCACGAGAAAGAGTGAAAGGATAAAAATTTCTCTATTATTAAATAACTTATTTTAGAAAAGAATAAATTATTAATTAAATTGTTTTATTTTTCAACTAAATTTTACTTGATATCTATGAAAATTGAGAGGGAGGAAAAAAAATCTAATTTTCTATCCTCTTCCAAAGGGGGAGAAAGTTTAATTAAGTAGCAATAGCAAGATAATTCTGATCTGTTTAATTACTTCTTTCTTTACACTTTTATAAAAAAAAAATAATTTTTTAAAAAGTTAAGAAGATTTTTAATTTTAAAATAGGTATTTTACTGTTAATGATATAATTAGTTTAATTAACAAAAAATNTTTACAGTTAAAAAAATTATTTTTTTATTTATAATTTGAAAATAATGTATTAATATGTAATAATAGTAGTAATTATATTTACAGCCGAACCTCTAATAAAGGCCACTCTGAATGGCGGCCATTTTTCCAGGAACGTTTTTTTTCTAAGAAGCATACAAAATAACCTCCATACAACACCCATTTTTATGTTCTCGTCAGTGGCCGTTGTTCAGAGGTTTCATTTTATTAATAATTATAATTACTATATTACTTTATATTTAGAAAATTTTAAAATTTTCAATTTTAGAATTTTTCAATCCAAAAATTTAGGAATTTTTTTTTTTTTGTATGTATGGATGTTACTGTATGGAAGAACGATTTTATTCACCAACTTTAAAGCTTAATAACTCTTGTGCCTTTTGTCGAAAATTTCTGAAATTTTGCAAGGAAGTTTGTGTATTAGAGGGAAACGTTTCTAGAAATTTTCAGGAAAATCGAAGTGTTAGTTCGGGAGATATGGCTCCCACCCCTCAATATTTCAAAAAGCTTCCGTGTTATGAATTTGTCTTACTCGTACAAATGTTTACTTTAATAAAAATAAAAATTAAAAAAAAAACATGCCGGAAAAGTCTCGCAACAATGCTGCCAGCTTTTATTATTAAAGTTTTATAAAAATTTTTAATACTCTTTTATTATATCAGTTCTGAATGGCCATTAAAACTCTTTATTTTTGCTTTAAGTACATAACAAGTTTACTTGAAAATTGATAGATGAAATAAATGGTAGAAGCATTTTTTTTTCTTTTTTATTTCAGTCTTATTTATCGCTAGAACAATCTTTCACGTTACAGTTGATCGACTACATGAAATTGATATTTCTCTATCCAAAACGACAGAGAGAGAGAAGGAGATGGAGAGAATATTTCCTTCATTCGATCAATTTTTTGCTTTGCTTGACACTTTTATGAAATACAAAACTCGTCACCTGTTACTTCATTACTTCTTCTTAATCCTTGTTAATTATTTATTTATAAAATCGATAACTCGAATTAACTTCTTTAACTCGAATCGAAAAATCAATATATCGAGTGTAAATAATACAAATAACATTCGAACTGGTGTTATTCCATAAACTAAAGTAGACTTTTAATGAAGAAAATATCAAATTCTGCAGATTTTCATTTGATTTTTCAGGTAAATTCTGTGTTGATGCTTCCAATCGTCTCATATTTTAATTTTTTTTTTTTCCTCGGCACTTTTACTTTCCTGGCTGTTACAGCATAATATTGTAATCCTGTCACATCTGACCCTCCGGGTTTTTGAAATCTCGACGTTTTGAGACTTCCTGAACCCAAAAAAATGGTCAGAAAACTGATATCCGGGCTGGTGTGTGTGTTTGTGTGTGTGTGTGTATGTGTGTTGACATTTATTTCGTTTAATATCTCAGAATGGTGTAATGATTAAGAAACTAAATCTGGCATGGTAATTTGTATTTAATAAGCATTGACGCTATTAAATTTTGGATGTTAAAGGTCAGGATGGTGGGAAAATAAGATGGATCAATGCCATATCTCGAGTAGGGTCGGACTTAACAAAAATTTTACTCGTTATTTGCATTTGTAATTTTTTTAAAAAATCATCTCTTCTCTCAAAATTAAGTTTTTTGCCTTTTTATTATAATTAATAATATAAAAGTTATTNTATATTTTAGTAAATAAAATTATATTAAGTTATGAATAAATAAATACTTTCTTTTAATTAAAATTTCTACAGTTATTTAAATACTTATGACTAATCTAAAATAATTTATATTTTGATAAATTTAATGTTTATATTCTTATATTTTAAATTAATTTACGTGTATTATATCAAAATAAACTTTTAAAGAGAAAAAAATAGAAAGGAAAGTATGCAAAATTATTATTATGAACATAGGCAGTCCTCTGCAATATAAAATAAAATTATATTTAATTTGAAATATATGTTAACGAATGATTGGTTGAATGTAATCGCTTCGACCAATCTTCGTTAAGAATTGATTTTACCCAACGATGGTTGTTTATCGATGAATTACTGCGATTTATATTGAAGAAATATTGATGAAAGAACAATTTTTAACCAATTATAATTAAGATGTGTTTAAATTAATTCATTGCTTAAATTTTAAGGACAAAAGAAATTATTATAGGCAAACTTTTTTTAATTATTACGAAATATTTATATTGTATAAAGATATGAAGTGAAAAATCATGCACTCACCTCAGAAAAAAGTATACTTCAATCATATGCCAAGCTTGANGTGATAGTTTAAGCATTTTTACATGGGTTTTACTATGTTTTAATTATGTTTAAGGATCGTTTAGTACTGTACATTGAGTTTACATTATAACGCATCACACCTTTTTTTCTTTTCAAAAATCCGGCAACGAGTTGCTTAACTTTCCCGGCGACATTTCATGGCGCCATCTGTTATAAAATTTTAACTTTATTCCAGAGCTTCTGCAAAGTGCTTCAGCACAGCTTCTCTCAGTCTATCTTCGGTTTCACATGCAAATCAACGAAACTATGCTATGTCTGGCCAGAACAGAACGGAAATTGCACGAGAATCGAGAACTCCAAAGCCTCAATATACATTTGTGCGTCGTCCCCAAGTCATCAGAATGAGAGATTTAAGTCCGGCATCAAGGGCTCGAGTTGCAGCAGAATATTACCAGACATACGACGTTATGACCGGAGTAAGAATTGCAGCTACTCTTGGTGGTCTGATAACACTGTTTGCCTTATTCCTGTTCTATAAAAGTAGATGTAAGCCAGAACGCCCAATACCTCGTATTGATCTGGACGAAATCATCAGTAGGACTTACTCGGACACGAGTAGTAATAGTTCGGATACGAATTCGCCCATACCAGCGGAGCATGGAGGATTTGCGCCACCTCCAACCCCGAATCTAAGCGAGCCTGATAAATTTCGTAAAAATACTTTATCAGTTACACTCAGTGGGTCATCTACGTCACGTGAAATACCGTCTACGTCACAGATATCATCGGAAATAGTTCGACCATCGTCCGGTCACGGTATTAAAACAAAATTAATTCGTAATGGCAGCCGACAAAGCAATTATAGTATCGCTTCTGGTTCTAGCTCAAGTCCTACAAGTGCCAAATCCTCTTGTTCCTCGCCAGATGCCATCGTTGTTGAACGCGATAGTATAGCTTCTTCGTCTTCTGTAATTGTTGGACGTACTTCTAGCAGCATCCCCCCTTTTATTCCCCACATGGTGGTTGTAAAGTGCCACGGAGATAAAGTAGTTGTTAGTCGATAAATTACCATGTTACCGAAGCGTTAGTCGTCTCCAGAAGTCCAAAAACAAAAAAAATTACACACATAAAATAAATAAAAAAGAAATGGTTCTAATTGTTTTAGTGTTTTATGTGGAAAGACTTTTTATGTTGTCAATTGATGGCAAGAAAAAAAAAACAAGAGAACAATTTGTTAAATGTCAATGGGAATCGTCCATTTGTCTGTGTACATATTCGATATACAACAAACTCAGGAAAATGCAAATTAAACAATAAAAATAAAATAATAAAAATAATAATTATATTACATAAATTAATATAACATAATTTAATTTCGATAAGATCTCATATTAGTTATAATTAAATAATAATAATAGAAAATTAAGCTATAACATTTTAAATCGTTATACAATTTTTTTATAATATTTATTATATGTTTTCTTATAATATACGTATACATATGATTGAATGAATGAATCTGTGAATCAAAATAATGTTGAATTATCTCCCCAAAGAGCTTCGTAAAAATATTTTTTATGAAATAAATAATAACAATAATAATAATAATAATAATAGAACTANTCTATCTATTTTAAAGAATTCTTGCTAATGACATTTACTAAAAGCTAATTTTCTGTCAGGTACTTTAAATAAGATTAAAATCCTTTTCTTTCCTCCCCCAATTTTTTTTCAAGTAGTTTGGTATTATAATAAAATGTTAAACACTAATGACCAGGCTTTCAAATAAAATTGGATTTTCTAAAGAAAAAAAATTAAAGAAAAAAATGGAGTATACTGTTAAGAAATTCTCCTTGGGGCTTACAGGTTAATATACTTTGTAGTTGAACACAGGAGGAAATGGCAACGAAAGAAAAATGGCGTACGTGTCAAGTAAAGTCAGATCAGATATCAGATGATAAACACGGCAGAAAACTGAGCATTTTTTAGTCGATTTAGCAATAATAATATCGATGCCCATTCCCAATGGTATTCTTATGTAAATGGAAACTTGGAAAACTTGATTTCTTTCTCGCCTCCAGTAATCGTGATATTGAAGAAATATTTTTCAGAATTGCATTTTCCCTCCCTCCCCTCCTCCCCTTTTTTGAAAATAGTTTAGATTTATATATATATAGGCCAGGACTACATTGAGGCCCTAAGATGTTATACGAGACTTTTCACGTATACAAGATGGCCTAAAAGTCAGTTAACTTGAAGTATTATATATATATATAAGCTATACAGAGGTCAAGTGTGTTTTGAGGGTCTGAGATGTTGCACGAGACGGTGGTCGAGTAAATGAAACCACCGAACACTGATAGTTTGGTCGTGGGTTCGTGCCTCGCCAAGTACTAGCACGTGGAGTTTTCCGGATTTTCTTCACCTTTAGTATGTGTAAATGTAACCCCGATGGCAGCCCAAATATCAGTTAACCGTGTGAAAAGCTTGAACGATCTATCAAAGAATTTAAAAAGAAAAAATTATCATTTCATTTCTTAACAATTATAAATTCGTAAACCAGACAAGAAATACGCCATTTTAAACAGTAAATTTGTAATTAAATATTTTAAATGATACAATAATTTAGTATTAACTGTGGTAAACTGACTTTTGGGCCACCCTGTATGAGCAGAGTGGCTCAATTTATATTTTAGGAAATGCAATTTAGATTTTATAATGCTTAATTGATTATTGGGCCACCCTGAATATGTTAAATATAAAAGTAATTTAGCTTAAATTTTATTTTATTTTTCCTTTATTAAATTAGCCTGTTGTCTTCAAATCAATTTATTTTTTTGTTTATTTTAATGAAAATATCGAAATTTTTTCGAGCGGAAACACTCAAAAAGTTAAGATATTTCTAATTATCAACATTATTATTTATGCCAGAATAGTTTCTGTTCGTAAATTATTTTCCTTTTAAGTATAATTCATTATCGAGATAAGTGTAATTTAAATTAATTCAATAAATTAAGTTAAATAAAAATTAATTTTGTAAATTTTGATAATGTAGTTGAGTGGTTTGTCTCTTATATTTTTTTATTTCATTTTTTATAATTTAAAAGTAGTTTATTTATATATTTTATTAATTAAGTTAGAATATATATTTCTTACATTTTTATTAATTTAATTAACTTCTTTTATAGTTGACTCAGCATCACTAATAATGGCTCTTGTTTGATATAATTGAGTCATAGATGCTTCTTAATTCTCTCAATTTCACTCTTTCTTGTGAAATTCTATATAAATATTAGAATTGTTATTCATATTTTAATTATATATAATTAAATAATAACTTTATTTAGCAATTTTAATATTCAATTAACTAATTGGATTGTTTTTTTTTAACCAAGAAAACTGTTTTATCTTCTATTTCTTGACGGTTTCTGGTATCTTTATCAATTGTTTTCTCGGTTCTTATATATAATAAAGAGAAAGAATGACAATCTGTCAAAAAATTATCCCCAATAATTTTATATATTTGATTCAGGGGACCTTGAAACGTCTAGAAATACAGAATATTTGGATTTTTTTTTTCCTGTGTAAAGATGTTAGTGTGTGGGGAATGATTTTTCCTCCCAAATTTGAAGCTTAATAACTCCTGTACCCTTTGTCAAAAATTTCTGAAATTTTACAGGGAGGTCTATGTATTAGGAACACTGATGCTGTTAAATTTTGGTGGTTAAAGGTCGAAGGTGCGGGGAGATATAGGTGTCATGTGTCATATCTCAATAGGATCGAACTTAATTAATATTTTACTCGTTATTAACATTTACAATTTTTTTTCAAATAAAGCACATTTCTACCCTCAAAGTTAATCTTTTTCTCATTTTATAATATAGTAACTAATAATATAAAACCTAACAGATGGCACCATACACAGTTTTATCGGGAAAGTTACTCAACCTATTGGTGGATTTTTAAATTGTTGTAAATTCGTTTTCCGAAGAATATTTACTAAAGAAAATCAGAGAAACTCATCAAATTTAATTATTTTTTCTGTAGTAAAACATTCTTTATCATTAGAAATGGTAATTTCCGTTTCTTTTTCGATGTCTTTCCGACATTCAAGTTGTCATTGGTGTCAATATTGATGGTGACATCGATCTGTTGAACTCCACGGGTGTAGTGGAATGCCACTCAACTAAAATTCTCCCAATAAATTATTATCTTTAGTCATTGCTCTTTCACCCTGGAGTATCTGAATCAATAAATTCGATTGATTGTTTGAATGTATACTGAATACCTGAGATTGTTTGCAAGGTATGGTTGTGTTACGTTTAATCAGCTCGGTCATTACTCCTTCTGTTTCTAATCCGGAAAGATAATGGGGTTACATCCAATAAGAGCAAATCTTGTACTTTGTCAGATTTATCACGGTGTAAAATTGCTGCCTGGAATTTTTAAACCATTCACTAAAATTTGTTTTATCTGATTATAAATAAGGTTTAAAATCGACTTTTTATCTGAACGACTGTACTGTAAGCAACTACTTCATCAAGGTTAATGCTCTTGTTTTAATTTTTCTACATTGAAGTAATGAAGAAATTTTTTAGAATTCGAGTCGAGACAGTCATTAGTTTAATATCTTGATGTTTTCTCTACTCAATTTTACATTGTTTAATATATTTTCGATGGGTTTTAAGAAGTAAATCAGCATTCAGTCTCTCGAGAAATCAATGTTTTCAAACAATTATCTATTTCTGGAATATAAAATAACTAAAAGATTGATTTAATTTAATTCTTTTTTTATATTTTATGTCTTAATCATCAAGCTTAAGTCGTAGAAGATAATGTCCTCCTTGTCCTTTCATACGAACTTCTCAATCGTCTTACGATCTTCTTATTAGTCGATAAATCTTTTTTGTGCTCTCGTTTAAATTCCTGAACGAAGTAGTTAACTAGAAGATTATCGAAATCTTCTCCTTCTGAACACGTTTATCAGCTGAAATCAACTTTAAACACCTTTACCAATGACTAAACTAGAAATACAAAAATGAGTTGCATAACTTTCCCGGCAAAAAAGTTTAAGTTGTTTGTGGCTCCATCTGTTATGAGACTTTTTTTAATTTATATTATTAATTATTATAAAATAGCCAAATCTTAATTTTGAGGGTAGAGATGGGTTTTACAATATATTGTAAACGCTAATAACGATAAAATCTTCACCAAGTCCAAACCCACTCAAATATGACACATGTTCACTCTCTATCTCCCCACCCCTTGACCTTTAACCACCAAAATTTTATTGCATTCATGCCCCTAAAACACGGACCTCTCTGCAAAATTTCATGAATTTTCGACAGTAGAAACTGGAGTTATTAAGTTTCAAAGTGGGTAAACAAAACCGTGCTCCCATACACACACTAACATCCATATATACAGAAAACCCCCGAAATATTTTTATATTTTTGCACGTTTGGAGGTCCTCTGAGTCCAAAAATGTAGAAATCATGAGGTCATTTTTTCACCGAGTGCCATACTTTCTCTCTACTTTATGTAAGAGTCAGGAAAACAATATATTGAAAGTTCCTCCCTGCAAATCAATGCTGAAAATAATTTTCTTTATGTTGTAACAAATAAACATATCATTAAAGAAACTAAAAATAACAACCATTAAAGAAATTTGTCCTCATTTAATTTTTTTTATTTATCAATTGCTGCAGCTGTTGAGTCGTTAATAATTCTAAACACATAGAATCTTGCTACAGTTGCTGCATCTTTAGTAGTTCGCCTTTTGAATCGTTGAAATCAGCTGATAATGTAATTACTACATCAGTGAATGTTCTTCTCGAATATGTTTCAGCTGTTTCTTTTATTTAGATAAATCCATTAGAAGAAACTGCTTCTGGAGAAGAAATTTCTTAATTTTTCTCTTCGAATAAAGCAAAACTTAAGAAATTTCCTAACGCAATTTTCATTAATTAAGATAATGATCAGGCGATCATTAACCAGAAAAATACTAGAAAATTACCAAAATAATGGCAGAGAAAACGCATTACTTCAATAAAATAATACAGATAAAAGGTACACAGCAGCCAAAATAATGTTAGAAAATAATCAGAATAATACCAAAAACTTGCGACACTAATATCAGGAATGTACTAAAAAAGATCTAACTAATGCCAAAAATACCAGAAAATAACCAAAATAATTCTAGAGAAAATGCATTACGTAGCTAAGATAATATCAGATAAAGGCTA